GATACATATCATCTCAGATTGACCCTCTTCAATTACAATCCAGTCGCTTCGCAAATTCTCAAGCTCCCAACTTCTAGTCTATCCCAGGTCTCTCCGATTCCGAAACGCAGTGCTGATGCTGTGGTGCCTGGTCGTACATAGTCCTACCTTCTACAGACTAGCATGGGTCCATTGTTCTTGATGGCATTCAAAAGATTTCACGAGCAAAATCAAAACTGACCGTCCTGGATATTTTGAACGCGACTGCAATGATCCCGAAATGATTACTTTGAAGGAAGTTGGCCCGCTCAAGACCTCTTACGCGTGTGCGATTGCAAAAGATTGTTTCAAAAACAATATTTCCTCCCTCGTCGCGTGCCTTGTGCTACTGTTTGATCTGGGTATTGATATCAACACCATCGGTCCTAGCATTATCGAACTAGGTAATGAAAAAAAAGTTTATTCTATCTGATAGTTTGTATTTACATGGACGGATGTATGATCGACGGCTATACAAGACTTGCAGGTGTACTCTCGAACTCAATTCCTATGGTTTGAAACTCGCACCATTTCCTCACCAGCCCCGTCGCTCGAAATCCGCCAAGGTGTCCCTCGTCGTCTCTTCTTTCGTGTGATACACCAATTCCGGACCAAGGATCTTCGGAGCCTTACTTGCATCATAAGGAAAGATCGGCTTCAAAATCTTCCCCGCCCCAGGGTTTCCTTTTGGCATGTCCGTGTGAGAAGGAATGGGGGAAGGCGAAAGGGCATTGGCTGAGTCGACTAGAAAAAAAAAGAAGTATCGCAGTTGATTGGCGCTGTATACACTCTATCAAAATCAAAAAAGGGGCCGAACTTACTGAAATCTTGGTACGAGAAATCTCCTTCGAGGATGATTAATCGTTCACCACCGGCCTTCTCCTTTTGGAGAGCGAGGACATGGGCGAGAGCTACATCCCGGATGTCGATCCACGCGTTGCTGACCAGAGCGATTTGGTCGAGGGGCTTGCCTCCCATGTCGGGGCGGACAACTGAGTTGTACCAGTCACCTGAGGATGTATTAAGGGCTGCGGGAGATGAGACTTCGTGTATGATTGGGCCGAAGATCTGAAGAGATTGAATGAGAGATTCGGTGAGCTTGTGCAAGTTACGGAAGCCAAAGGGTCAATTAAGGTCAACGCACATATGGTGGGTTCAACACGACGAGATCCCAGGAAAGTTTCGCCTTATTAGCATTGTAGAGTTCCCAAGCAGCTAATAAAAGGTCCAGGAATAGGAAACAGGATTATCAGAACGCGAATCAGAAGAAAGACAGCAAATTGTAGATTGTATTTTACATACCCTTCTCTGCCAAAGTCTTACTCGCACAATACTTGTTGACCTGGTTTGCATTCTTCCCATTCACTTTGACGTCTTCAATTGATTGTTCGTTCCAGTCTGATTCCGTGAATGGCTTGGGGTCAGGTAGAAGAGAGATGACGGCAGCGGTAGATGACAATAATATGAATCGCTTGAGAGTTGACGCGGTAAGTGCGCTTTTGAGTATGCTGACGGTTCCGTTTACGGCTGGAATGATTAGCTCTGTATATATTTTTGATAAGCTAACAAGATTCGTCGAACAGAAAAACGAGGATTGCCTTGTGGATCATCCGCCGCGAGCTGGAAAGGTGATGCGGTATGTGCGATTGCGTCTACGCCTTCAATTGCCTCATCAAATGCTCCATCCTAATAAAAGAAATATGAGAATCCGAACCCGAATCGGGAGCCCAAGAACCTCGATTTTGAAATAGTAATGCTACTTCAAGTCAATGGCACCTTACTTTAGTGATATCTTCAACGATTATCAACTCGAACCGGTTTCCATGGTCGGCGAAGATCTTCTTGAGATGTACGCCTTTTCCTTCAGACCTGATTGTTCCCCGAACTTTGTACCCTTTCTCAAGGAGCATACGTATGACCCAGGCAGCTACGAACCCGTTAGCTCCGGTTACGAGGACTTTGCTTCCTGCGGGAACGGTAGGCATGGCTTTGGGAGAGCTGAACAGAGATGTCGAGAAGGATGTGAGCTATAACAGACAGAGACAAGTGGTGCCGATTAACGCGTAGGACAGCCGATTTTATAACAATCGTGTCGAGGATTTGATTTCCAAATCGCTCTTGAAGCAATCCGGGCTGGTTTGTTTCCACCGAGACTCGGAAGATCAGTCAAGGAAAGAAAGAAGGTCCGGCTACTTACACCGTTGACCATCGTACGCTTCGCATCCTCGCCCACAAACGGCGACCTCGGATATACGTAGATGCGCATGCGATTCTTCAACGGAGCGAAAATACGCATAATTCAAAAAAAACACTCGTCGCACTGCGGTATTCGCATGGTTGCTACATCATCTCATGCACGACTCCACTTCCGATATCAACCGCAGACTCATACGGCTCTCAACTCCGTAAAAGAAGTCCAGAAGATACACTATTCAGCATGTGCTTCATCGATTTCGGTCGTTGAGTACTAAATTTCTTTTAACGTCTAACTGAATGTCATGATTGAACATAATTAAACAGTTTCCGAGTGATATGCTTTGGAAGCTTTCCAGCTCTTTCCAGTCCTTCTTCCTTCCCGCTTTTGAACGTTCCACACTAGTTCCATACAGTTCCATGTCGTTATATGTCTTCTCCTGTGAGGATCGTGAAGATCTCGCATCTTCCTCATCGCTGATGATCTCCGGTTTTCGAGTGTAACATAAAGCCGAAACATGGCTGCAAATTATCCACATTGAAACCAGACTACAAAAGACACAAGTCCAGAGGGTTGTTTATACATTCGGATTCGGGAACATTAAAGAGCATATGGTATATAGATATACCCGCGGTTGGTAGGATCTGGAGTCTCTTCTTGCTCGACATAATCCCCCTCCACCATGGCTCTTGGACCAGCAGAAGTCGCGTCAGTAATATCATCTCTTAGCTCTATCTAGTCTCTTCCATTCATGTGAGGGCATGGTAGACATGGACCGATGCTCATCGGCACTTTCCTTGCCCTAATTCTATTCGGGATTTCTGTGACTCAAGTGTAAGCTTAGTATGGACCGTTCACGAATTCCTCACCATGCTGAGGTAGGATTACTTTATCTAGTTATATGTACTGGAGTGCATATCGGAAAAAGTTTGTGTTCATGATGATATCATGACGATTTGCTGAACATTTCACTAGGGATAGGGCATTCATTCACGCATATGTAGGTCCTCTCTGAGCTGTCTCCATACTCGATTTGATGAGGGATCGTCACAGGTCATCGTGGTCTTCGTCGCGGACACTACACATACAATCTTCATAATGGCTTACATGTATCTATCACTTGTGAAACACTTTGGTGCGTTGGAATTTATGTTGTACCGCAACATGATTAGCTGAACTTATGTTGTAGGAGACATTCCTTATATTTCTGATTCAACTTGGGTTTTTGCTGCTGGTATGTTCAAAGTCCTTCTTGATTTACTAACAATTTAAATTTGTTAATGATGATTTAGAGCCAGCTCTCGTGGTGAATATCCTCCCTCTATGCAACATAACACATTATATTCATAACCTTATTCTCTAGGGCATTATTGGTGGCTTGGTGCAGAGTTTCTACGGGTGGAGAGTGCAGATCCTACTCGGAAATTGGTTTGTCACTTTGATAATCTTTGTCGGTGCTCTTGCAAATATGTGTAGGTGAATTTTGAGCTCCTTGTTGCACAAGTTGAATTCGAATTTTCCCAGTGATGGGTATTGCAACTGCAATTGGCGCGGACATCGTGAAAGCATTCTCCGAATTTCAAAGGTTTCAAGTGGTGGTTATCATTTGTAAGTCAAAATTCGAGAGCTTCTCCTTTGCGTTGGCAGCCCGATTTGATGCTGAGCGCTAAATGTTGGCCCATTTCTAAGGGGCCGTCACTGCTATGGCGGCAGATTTAATTATAATGGCAACGCTGGTGCTGCATCTGGTAAATTGCCCTTCCAGCTTTCACGGCAAGTCAAACGTTCTTACCCATAGATTTTCAGAGACATTTCAAGACAGGAATTAATAAAGGAACAGACAATCAGATTGATAGAATTATCCGGTGTAAGTATGTTGAATGGACTTGGATATTTAACAGCCTCAATTGATGTTTCCTCAGTGACTCTGCAAACTGGTACGCTGAACTCTTGCAGCCTTTCCATTCAATACTGAGAGATAATCATAATACTCAGGAATGATCACGGTCATCTGGGAGTACGTATTCGTATTCATTTCTATTTTATTATCCTTGTCTAAAGTTCTTCGCTATTTATTCTATAGCATCGCCCATCTACTGACTTTCCTTCTTGATCCTGCTGGCGTGTGCGTTCTAATAAATATTCTCTGATCACAACTGCAGACTGACGGTAGTGTCTTATCATTCTAGACATCTTTTCTTCAATTTTACCCTTGCGAAGCTATACACAAATTCTCTACTCTCATCTCTGAACTCAAGAGGAGGATGGAAATTTATGGATTCAACATCTGACCACAACACCATCACCACTGGCCGATCTGGCATATATACTGAACATGGAGTTAGCCAACATGTATGTGTTTTGACCCTTGCTGATAATGTTGGATATTTTCCTCATTGCAATCTCTTGTGTGGCAAAAGGTCGAGGTCAACTTGGGTCATCATACTCGAAGTCGTCCTGAGGTCAGTGATCAATATGTGTGCTTCGATGACTTGTCTAATCTTTCAACAGGTGTTTATACAGGTTGAGTCTCATGAAATGATGGACCAAAATCAAAAGGGCGCGGCAATTGACTCAGAATACTGAAAAATTGCCAAGTATTATTAGTCTTTGCGTCGTGTTACTATTTCAGTCAAATCTATTAAATCGACCAGAGTTGAGAACAGAGATATGTGAGGAGTATCTGTGGGTGTGTATTATCATAATTGTTCATATTGTCAAAATAAGGGCAAGTAACTTCGACAAAAGCCAGAAGTAAAACATCAATCGCCCAATATGAACTCAGGAATACACCGTTCGGGAATCGAACCCGAGCCGCTTGCTCACTATATACTGATGGAAGGCAAGCATGATAACCACTTCACCAACGGTGTACATTATTGAAATGTCTATCCTCAATAGTCAGTAATTTGCTTGTCACTAGAATCCTTGGGACGAAATTCGGATTTATGAACAAGCGGCACTGAAGGGGATAACGCTCCTGCACCTTCTCAGGAGACTGTGTATGCCACGACAGGACACAGCGCGACAGCGATCGAGGTCAATGGAATGAGGCTGATGCTAATGAAGCAGGATATAACGAGGGACTCTCAAACAGGAAAGGGCACAAAAATGTGACAAGCCGTGAAGAGACGTGAAGAGATGTGAAGAGATATCAAGGGAGGATTGGTCAAAAGGAGCCTCGAGGATGGCCGGATTATTTCCTAAACGGAGATGTGATAACTGTGAAAGGATGATCGGCCTCGAGGCTTGGGAGAATATGGAGAGATGCTGCGTAAGTAGGGAACTAATTTGGACTGATTTGAGCCGATACAGGTTGATACGCGCAATGTGAAAAGGTCATCCAAGAACATACGGATGTTCCGGCGAATGTGATATACTGTGAGTGGAACGGATTAGTGCAAGTTGTTTATTATCACTTGTTGTGCGTCGGTTAAGTAGGTGAGGACTGTAAATGCCATTAACTCTTTATTATCACTTTGCAGTTGACGCTTAATGCTGAATCCTGCCATCCTGCCTCCTTCTTCACTATCTCATGTCCTCGTTTCTTCCCTTGAATCCTCATTTGCGACATATCACTCGACGAGAAGAAAGGCATGCAGGATCTGGAAGGAGGCGGATGGACAAGTATAAAAGGTATGATGTTAGTCGGTGAGTTTCGTCAATCCACTTGGATAGCACTGACGTTCGCTGAATCTCATTCAACTTGATAACTTTCCACTGCTGTGAATCTGTGAATCCTCGTTGGATCTCCTACATTTTTACCCCACATCTACGCCATGTCTTACAACAACCCGCTTCACTCGCCCGTACCAGCCTCCAAACAATCTACTTATAACTCCCTCTCAGGTTCCATCGCCGCTTCAACTTCGTCCTCTTCGTCCTCGTCCACGAATTCGCGCCGCCGTCGCGTCCCATACACCCCTTCGCCGAAATTTCGCTCCTCGAGTCGTCCTCAAGCGCCTATCGCGTTTGATTGCCTAGGATATCCTGGTGCGGGGATGCCTATGCGAGAAATATACGCCAGGGGAGAAATCGCATTAGCGCAGATGATGGATAAGGGAGCAGAGCGTGTTATGGTGTTTGCGCAGAGTGGGATCCGAAGGATTCACTTGGTGGTGAGGGTAAGTTGTTTGATTTTGTGCTATACTAGAGTTCCGTGTCTGATTTGAAATATTTTCTATTTGCTATAGTGGCCTGGATACGAACACCTAGAATGCGCATTTCCTATAGAGGTGGTCTTGTATTCTGGACATATCACGCGGGTGCAACTAGCTGCTGCTGTTACAAACACTTTCATCAAGTTTATCGAGGTAAGAGACCGGCTCTGACTTTCCTTTCGTTCATTTCTGATCATTTCTATCTTTACAGCGAGCCCAAAACGAAGGCTCATCCTCACCAGACTGGCAATTTGGTTCAAAAGCAATTCAATTCACTCAGCTATCGCTTCTTTCCATAGCTCATTTGTCGGAAGACGCGTGGAGAGCTGAGATCGCTGTGGACTTTTAGGCTGGAAGAGAGTCGACGTTACCATACAATACCATACAATACCTTGAATACCCTTCGCCTAATGTTTTACCTATACCACTACGTCTTTGATGAATGAAGTTACATGATCGAAAGCAAGCGCGTCGACGCGTCGTCTGAAGCGCGCACTAGCACGTGTCCTTGTAAGCTAAGCGCTTGTTATAGTTCGACCTTCAAATTCTAATTAGTTTCAACGCACTGTTGAACCACCAATGGAATTCAGAAAATGTTCAGAATGAGCGAGTTGTCAATGGCTAATGGTATGGGGAGGAATGACGCCATCCATAAATCGTGCGCCGTTTCGTTCAGTTTTGGTCTTGTTGTTTTTACTTGATTTATCATCCTCTCCGGTATGTCTTCACTTTCATGTTCGCTATCAATCGTTTCACACGAAGTTTCGCCAGGCTTCCTCGAATATACTCCCATTTTGGCCTTATCTCAAGATCTCCACCTTCAAACGCAATGTCAGCTGCAAATTTTCCAGAGACGATAGAGGCTTTTGCGATTAATAAAGTGTGTGGGATTACTATCTGTTGTAGTGAAACTGAAAAATATGTTGTTGTGTAGACTGGCGGCTTCGAAGTTCTCGAGAAGCTGACTTTGCCATTCCCAAAAGTCGAGCCAGGTCATTTGGTGATCAAGGTATGTCTTTCAACCTCAGAAGCGAATCTCGACTGATGAGTGTCATAGGTAGAATGGATTGGTGTTAATTTCATTGATACATATTACCGGTATGCATCGTGCTAATCGCGAACAATTCTTGGATTCCAAGTCTTTTTTAGTCAAGGACTCTATCCGTACCCAAGCTTCCCTGCGATACTTGGGAAGGAAACCTCTGGGGAAATTGTTGCACTTCCAACTGACCCAGAAGTCCTCAATAGTCCTGATTTCCAACGGATGGAATATAAAGTGGGAGGGAAAGTTGCTGTTGTACGAATTCAATCATCTTATTGTCGTCTTCGTTATCCCAAATATCGATCCGTAGGATTTCCTCGGAACCCATTCAACATATATATCTGTGCCATGGATCAAAGCCTATTCAATCACCCACGGCGTCTCCACCAAAATCGCAGCGGCAGGTCTTGTTCAAGGCCTCACAGCTCTCACTTTTTTCGAAGAATCCTATAAAGTCAAAAATGGCGATACCATACTCATTCATACTGTTGCTGGCGGTCTCGGACTATTGATGGCTCAGTTAGGCAAACATCTCGGTGCGACGGTGATTGGGACGACGTCGACAAAGGAGAAAGCGGAACTAGCGAAAGCCCATGGGGCAGATCATGTTATTCTGTATAAGGAGGAAGATACGGTGAAGAGGGTTTTGGAGATTACTCACGGAGTCGGTGTTGAAGCGGTGTTCGATGGTGTTGGGAAGGATACGTGCGTTAATTCTCTGACACTGAGATTCCAAAAGTTGAGTTCATTGGTTTCATAGGTTCGAAAGTAACTTTGAGATGCTACGTCGAAAAGGTACTCTCGTCTCCGTAGGCAATGCGTCTGGAGCTGTTCCTCCTGTGTCTCCGCTCAAACTCCTGCCCAAAAATCTCAAACTCCTGCGACCAACGTGTGTTTTCTGCCACTTATCCCCTTTGCTTTCCATCTAACTTAAATTTTATTCCACGCCCGTCCCTGGAACTTTAGGATGAACAACTACCTTGTCACGCCCGACGAAGCAGCTTACTATGGGGACAACACTGCATGCAAATTCTGATAAGTTCACGTGACTTACCTAGAACTTATCTGAAACAAGCGTGAAATTACAAGCATATAAGATGCCGAACTTATTC